TGTGTGTGTGTGTGTGTGTGTGTGTGAGAGAGAGAGAGAGAGAGAGAGAGAGAGAGAGAGAGAGAGAGAGAGAGAGAGAGAGAAGGTGGATAGTGTTCTGGCATATGGATAACACGGTCGGATCTGTGAAGTTCTAGCTCGGAGGAGTGGGTGTGTGTGTGTGTGGGTGTGTGTGGGTGAGAGAGAGAGAGAGAGAGAGAGAGAGAGAGAGAGAGAGAGAGAGAGAGAGAGAGAGAGATTCTGGTATATGTTTGCTAGGTAGTGTCTCAGAGAAAGTCTCTCGGAAAGGAATTGCGCTTTGCGAATATTGCATTGATTACGCCAAGGGCCAATTGTCTGTGGCCTATCTGAGAGAAATCTATCTGAAGGGTTTTGAAAGATTTTAGAACAGCGAGCTGTACACGATGCCTGCAATCACTAGAAAGGATCACCCCTTGATCTACATTTTGAAGTCGTCTTAAGAATTTGAAGTGTCGATCAACTGATGGCGATTTCACCAATCACTTTTCGATGCAATATCGAAAGAAAAAAATAGGTATGTCAATACGGTTTGTCATATCTGAAGTGGCGTGTTGGAAGAAAATGCATGAATGTACTGAGATGACTCGATGAATGGATTAACGAGTGAACGAAGAAATGAACGAATGAAGAAATGGACTGATGAATGATACTATATGATGATTGAATGACCGAAGCAGTCGCTGAATTTCATCGATTTAGTGCTAATTAATGCTAACACTGTAATTATATGACCGATGGTAATCACTCGAATAACCCATTGACGAATCCCCTGATCACTCACTCTACTTAATGAATTCCTTACCTCAACAGTTTGGAATTGTGGGTTGAGGGCGTCCTAACCCCCCCCCCCCCTCTTGCCAACACCCCTTCCCACTCTTCCCCCCCGCCCTCCCCTCTCAACAGAAAAAAGGGTCCCTATCGAAATGGAAAGAGTGTCTCAGGCATGGTTCTTTTTTGTAAGTTGAAGAGGTGTTGACAGCCCGTGTCCTAATTCACGTGCAACCACTGGTTCTTTTTTTTTTTTTTTTTTTAAATTTATTTGGACCATTTCTCGATTTATGCGTGTCATCCTTGCGCAGGGGCCATGCTAATCTTCTCTGTATCGTTCCAATTTTAACGGATGTCCCGAAGGACCAACCACTGGTTCTATCAATATACCTCACAGATGACTGCATGGTGGCTCATCACAAGCAAGCGCTCGATCGTTTGTCTGTATGCCAACCTGCCTATGTCTCTTTTCCCGTCTCCTCGTTCGCCTGTTTTGGTAATCCTGTCTGCATCCCGGTTGGTTTTGTCCCGTTATTCGGTCTATATTCAGTCAGCAGGTAGCGGTGCTTTCATGTGGGACTAGTCATCCGGGCTCTTCTTTATCTTTTTGGCACCCTAGTTGGTTGTTTCCTGTTGTTCGGCCTGTGTGAGGGGACGGTGCTTTTATGTGGGAATCATCATCTGGGATTGTGTTTTATGTTTTTTGTCCCAGTACGAACGGTTTACAAATCGGGATACCAACGTCTTGATGCCGAACAAGGCCATCTGATGTATATAGATATGTAATCTGGGAATTCTCTCTTTACAGACAAGAGTGTTTTGTCCTGGGTGGTCTTGTCCCGTCGTTAGGCCTGTGTAGGGCTGGGGCGGTGCTTGCATGTGGGACTTGTCATCTAGGATACGTTTTTTGTGCTGTTGCTTATTGCCCCCTGTTTTGTTGTATTTGGTTGTTCCCTTCCTCTCTTCTTTGCCTCTTTGCCCTTTGGCTGTGTGCAAGTGGGTCAATATGACACACGGGGGTGGGGGCAGCCGCCACTCAACCTACATCCACGTGGGCGGCCTTGTACGCAAGAGGAGGTTCTGAACATGGGGAGTCTTGTAAGGAAGAAGATTAAAAAATGAGTTGATATCTTTTTTGTTTCCTTCTGTTTTTTTCGCGTTTGCGCTCTGATATTCATGTGACGATATATATGTTGAACTTTGTTGTGACAGTGGCAATTGGTTTTGTCATTTGCTTTGTTTGACTGATAGGCCTTCCTCTTCCCTTGTCCTTTCCTTGACTAGATCCCTTTCTCTTTCTCTTGCCGCTTTGAGGTCTGGTTTCCTCCTTTTCTTTACCTCTTTGCCTTTTGGCTGCGTGCAAGTGGGTCGATATGACACACGGGGGTGGGGGCAGCCGCCACTCAACCTACACCTACGTGGGCGGCATTGTACGCAAGAAGTTTTGAACAGGGGCAGTTGTAAGTAAGAAGACAAAAATGAATTGATATCTGTCTTGTTTCCTTTTGTTGTTGTTTTTTGGCTTTGGCGCACCTTCGCGCTCTGATTCACAGTGTGACAATATATATATACAAAGCTGCCCGGTAAACCGTAGGCAGAGAGGGAGAAGAGGACAGCAAACGAGGGGCTGTGACAAACTGTTTCGTTGGAGTTTCACCGACTCATCAGGAGGCTGAACCCTCAACAGTCTGCAGAATCCCCTAAAGATTACACTGTAAGTGATAATCCAGCTTAACCGCGGTTGTGTTAAGCATCAACGACTGCCCGACAACTGATACCCTGAGGTGGGCACCAACCACTGCTCTCAAGGTACCTGTGACGAAAATCAAAGCAGACTATCACTCACCCACACCGGATGGAAAACTCCACAGACTGTCGGTTCACACCCCATCACAAGCCAGCAAAACACTCGTGAAACAAAGAAAGGCCTGTCACAGCCGTTTTTTTCGGGTCAGGTCGAGCGGCAGTGGTCGGGGCCGTCACTATGCGGCCACGCTGTGCCTCCAGTGCCAGCGACGTGTCTGGTGTGTATTTTTTGGCTGTGACAGACCTTTCTTTGTTTCGTGGGTGTTTTGCTGGCTTGTGATGGGGTGTGAACCGACAGTCTGTAGAGTTTTCCATTTGGTGTGGGTGAGTGATAGTCTGCTTCGATTATATACAGTGTGACAATATATGTAGTCGGTGAAACTCTGACGAAACCGTTTGTCACAGCCCCTCGTTTGTTGTCCTCTTCTCCCTCTCTGCCTACGGTTTACCGGGAAGCTCTGTTTGACGATATATGTATACTCCCTGCTACGGTTTTCTCTGGTCAGGTTAAGCGTCTGTGGTTGGGGCCGTCACTACCTGGCCATGCTGTGCCTCTAGTGCCGGTGGCGTGTCTGGAGTGTATTTTTTGGCTGTGATAGACCTTTCTTTGTTTCGTGGGTGTTTTGTTGGGTTGTGATGGGGTGTGAGCCGACAGTCTGTAGACTTTTCCGTCTGTTGTAGGTGAGTGATAGTCTGCTTTGATTTTCGTCAAACGTACCTTGAGGGCAGTGGTTGGTGCCCGCCTCAGGGTATCAGTTGTGGGGCAGTCGTTGATGCTTGACCACAGCTGGGGTTAAGGTGGATTATCACTTACAGTGTAATCAGTTAGGGGACTCTGCAGACTGCAGAGGGTTCAGCCTCCTGATGAATTGGTGAATCTCAGACGAAACAGTTTGTCACTGCTCCTCGTTTGTTGTCCTCTTCTCCCTCCCTCTCTGCTGACGGTTTACCGGGCAGTTCTGTTTGACGATGTATACACATTAATTTATACGATAGTAGCATCTCAAGTATCTGTGTTCTGATGGATCCTTCAGATCTGTATTCTGAAGGATCTCTGCCACTGATTGACAATAACCACAATAACAGGCGTCTAACATTGGTACGGGATGGAATCGATGAGGCGAGCACAAGTGTATGACTGCGTTGGATTTTTGTGTGAAGTTCGATTTTCAAGGTGGGAATCGAACCAAAGAATGGACTCGTGAAAGTTTGTGGGAAGAGAAGCAACGGCCTGTGGCTAACAGTTGCCTACATGGATGGATAGCTGGGGCTGCATCGAACAGACGAGAGCATATGAGTAGAGGCACCTTTACTACTTACTCCCAAGAGACGATATGTCGGGGGGAGGGTTCATCGCTGATAAACGCTGGAAGGAGTCTCAGGTGGGGGCAGAGAAGGGGAAATTGTCGAGGTGGCTTGAAGGGCCATCATGATTGTTTCTTCTTTATTTTTCAATTGGAAAGTTGCTGTCGACTGCGTGACCTGCTCTCTAAAAATTTTACAGGCATGATTACTGTGGTTGGGTGGCTCTCTTGTCTTGCAGGCAGGGAAGATAATTGCCAATCTTGTTATCCTTGGATCGGGGGTGCTTTTGCGTGCAGTCACACAGGCGTATCGCCAAGCCATTATCAGTAAGAACAATTTCTCCCCACACACTCTTCGCACCTACTTGTCTCTCTTCTTCCAATCTATTACCCCCCCTTCCCTCCCCCCCCTCCCCCCCCCTTCCTTCCCTCTCGTCGCAGGAATACTTGCATGCCTTTTCCCTCCCTCTTCTTCTGGCTCTCATCTTTCACTTTCCATCCCTTTTCGTGCTCCCAGTCTGGGTCTTGCATGGCATATTATGCTCTTCTGTTATTTTCCCTCACTCCTATTTGCTAACCTCTTTCTTCTTGGTTTGTGTTTGTAGTATAAACTCTTTCTTGATATGGTCTGCTTTACGTTACCTGGCCGTGATTGCCGAAGTCGAAGGTTGCGTAGTCTTTAGATCTGCGATAGGCAGGAATCTTGAAGACAACCCTGTTTCTCAACCTAAAGGGAAGGTCCCGTTGGTGTATGTACGGGCCCAGAAAGCATGAGTGTAGTGGTCGGAGCTGTAGAAAGGGCCAGTTTGGTGGTTGCTTAGGATGAGCACAGCGCCCAGTGGGGCCTGGCTTCATCTGTTGTGTTGCGTCCAGACTCTTGTTCGTGACCAGCAACGTCTTCATGCCCAGCAATTGGCCGAATGACCTTTTAGACGAGGTTTAGCCGTCTGATGTTTCTTGTGCATCCCTCAGCCCTTCTATCCACTTCACATACCAGTCACTGCGGCACCTTCTTTTCCACCATGATAAGATACCAGTCACTGCGGCACCTTCTTTTCCACCATGATAAGAGGTTTTGTAGACATCTACAAAGCACTTCAACTAGAACCAACCCTTTTTAAAAACTGGTCGCTTGAGCTTCTTAACCTGTTGGTTTCTATGAAACCGCGCGCGGTCGGAGCCGAAGTTTTTGAGCGCCGCTCAATCCCGCGCTCAAGCGCCTTGAGTGGGGTTTGAGCGGGCTTGGGGATATTTGTTTTTTCGGGTAAAAAATGCTAAAAATATATATATATACCGGGCAGTTCTGTTTGTGACGATATATAGGGTTGTAGATCTTTCTGAGATCTACAGCCCTACGTTTTTTATTTTATTTTTTGAAGTTTCACTATATTTAAAAAAAATCAAAAACATTATTAAAAAAAAGATGAAATGGGTGGGTTTTTCTTTTTTTTTACGGAGATTGTTTGGTGGGCAGCCAAAAAAAAAAAAGAAAAACCCCATTTTTTATTTTTATTTTTAAAGTTCATGTGCATTTAAAAAAAAATGAAAAACAAAAAAAACAGAGAAAAAGCAAAACACACTCATAGACAACCGCCCCCACAAACACACACGTATGCACACACACACACACATAGACAACACCCCCCACAAACACACAC